ATTAAATATTTAGAATTATTGAATAAATATGAATATTTTTATTTATTAAATTCGATAAAATTTTTCATTTGAATTTTAAAAGCTTGAAATGTTTATGTAAATAGAACAAAAATATGTTCTCGTTGTCGTGATTCCTTAATAATGGTTTAGAATCTTTATACGAAACCATTTTTTTTAATGTTAAATATTTTAAAGAAAAGGCAGTTATCGGTTAATTATGGTTAAAAACATAATAATAATAAGCAATTGCAACGTATTGATATCGAATTTAGAAATTAGATTTGTAATGTTAACTGTAGCTTTGAGTTGCCATATAAAAAATGATTGATGCAAAGATTTAATAAACTCCAAAATTTCGCGTTGAATATTTTAAAAGTAAGGTCAGACCAATTTAATTCAGTGGTTTACATTACATCTTCACTTCAAAAGAGGGGGGAGGTTTTGTGGGGTTTACATAGTAAAATTTTCAAAAAATTTTTCTCTGAAAAATTCTTTTTCTGAAATGTTCCATACAATATAAACTTTTTCGAAATAGTCCGTTTCCTTATGCTATTTATCTAAAAAAAAATTTACTATGATAGAGAGGGGGAGCAAAAGCGAGGGTAATGTAAACTACCGAATTAAATTGGTCTGGCCTAACCAGTAACACATTGTTCAAAATATTGATATTACTGACGTATTTATCATAGAAAATGTATTGAAAAAAAGGTTTTACTTACAAAAGAAAATAAATTCTATTTTTTCGGTTGTAGTCTCTGATCAGTTTCAAATCAATTCGGAAGCAATTCAAGATGAAATAGAAGATACAAATGATATAGTAGAAATACCAATCGAAAATTCTCACAATCTTAGTAGTAAAAAGTGAGTTAAGTAAAAAAAGTCAAAAAAGTGACAAATAGAGATAACTCTCCTATGTTGAAAAAATTAATCAATGAATTAACTACTGCTTCTACTCAGCAAATTTCCTCCGAAAATACTATCACTTTGAAGTTTGTTACTCTCGAAATGAATAAAGTTTCAGAAAAGATCAACAGTGCTAAATATAATAATCAAAAAACTAATCAAGATATAATTTGCTGCTATCATAACTTTTGAAAAGGATAATTTATGGTATGATTTTTATAGACAATCGCATAATGAGGATGCATCTAATGCTTTAGTTGATGATAAAATTAGAAAGCATATCCTTGATCAAGATAAAATTACAGAGTATATCCTCGATCAAGATAAAATTACAGAGCTTAATCTTCGATCTAAGTTAATGATGATTCACCAGGATGGTCAGAATGTGAAGTTTGCTATGGAAATAAAAGGGAATTGTGTGAATATTGTGGTTGTTCTGTATGTAAATGGAAAGGAGACAGAGGTCACATCCTCATGTGTGATGGTCCTTGTGGAAAAAAATTTTATACCAAATGATTAAACCCTCCGCTCACAAGAATATCGTAAGGAATGTGAAAGTGTGAATTCAAAGTCATAGAAATGTAAAGTGTAACTTGATTATTCAAGTTCAGATGAAATTGATAATCAAAGTGCAGAAAAAAAGTGACAAAAGATATAAGGCACAACAGGATACTTGAATTCTGACAATGAGGCCAGTCGAAATTTTCAATGAAAAAGACTTCGAATCATAACAAAAAAAACGGGTGAATCAAGTTATAGATTCAATAAATAAGATTGAGATTGATGAACAATCTTTACAAGTATGAAAAGTTTTAATAAGGGATCTGTTTATCTTGGCTATAGTAAAATGTACTAATATACTGTAGTTTAGTTCTAGACATGTAAGTTTTATACTTTTTATATTAGTATAATACTACGTCTAAAGCTAAATATTAGTTTATTTTTTTACTATCGGTTTTGTATACCAATTTCAGACATCTGGCCAATCAAATTCGGATATCTGACCAATCAAATTCGGATATTCTAGCAATCAAATTCGGACATTCTAGCAATCAAATTCAGACATTCTAGCAATCAAATTCGGACATCTCAGCAATCAAATTTGAACAGCAATATCTCACGATCTAGAGATCAGAATCACATAATCTTGGTACCATTCGATTCGTCTTGACATGACGAGCCGAATGGTACCAAGATTATGTGATTTGGACCACTAGATCACGAGATATTGCCATCCGAATTTGATTGCTAAGATGTCCAAATTTGATTGCTAGAATTTCCGAATTTGATTGCTAGAATGTCTAAATTTGATTGGTCAAATATTCGAATTTGATTGGCCAGATGTTCAAAATTGGTATACAAAACCGATAATATAATACTGTATGAACATTATAATAATAATCTTTAATTTAATGGTCATTTAAAATTTGATCAGATAAAAATAGAAAATAATATATATAATATAAATATATTAACTTGATCTATATCTAATATTAGTGGAATTCAAAAATCTAGCAGAGTAAACAGAATAAAATAAACAATTACACCAACATCAAAATTAATGGAGACCCAATAATTATCTAACGTAATATACCCAAAATCAAAATTTTTGAAAAAATATTTGATAAGTAGATTGAATTTTCGTGTTCTTTTTCAGTACCTACTGAAATTGATGAGATGATTTCGAAAGTTAAATTAAACCTATTTGGAAAAAAATCTCAAATAACGAAAATGATTATCAATATTCAAGGGTCTTATACATCTATACTCTTTGTGAATTGGTGCATATATCATTTAAACTAACGAAAAAAATAAAGGAACTAAAGAAATCTGATCAACTTTTTATCCCAGCTTTATTATGGTGATTAGTCAAGAGACTAGATTAAATAAAATTAAAATATTAGTAGAATCATCCACAATTTACTATAAAAGTAAACTAGCAATAATCAAAAATATAATGGTTACAGCCAGACGCTCATTGATACTTGTTCAAAGAATGGGTTGGCAAGTAATTTATAATAGTGAAATGATTGACCTACCTTAGTATTAACCTATATCAATTTTATTATTTTATGTAGAACAAACAACAAACTATAACCATCCGAGCTCAATATTGTCGTGAACTACTTTGTTTTTAACATTTCCTACATAATAAGCAACTTATTTAAGTTAACTCTAAATATCCAAGATATAAGCCTAATAATATTAAGCCATCATTCCATCATGAACACCTACGAAAAAATAGTAATTGGCCAAATCAAGAAGGAAAAGTAATGTTAAATTCAAAATTGTATATAATAAAACATTAGAACATTGGTCCTTTATTTGGGTTTATGACAAAGATATCTGTGAAAACCAAGCAGATTATATTCATGTAGCAGCCATAGATTCTGGAGTCTGCATTTTCCTTACTTGGCAATGAGTTCTTGATGATCTTATTTCACATATCGCTAGAGCACCAGTAAAAAAACGCAACTCTATGAAACGTGCTCAAGCTCATTTAAGAAAAAATAATTCAAAACTTGATAGATGAGATATACAAAAAAGCTGTATTATAGTTAGCTTGTACTTTTGACATAATTGTGTTACCAATATTTGATACTCGGATGTCTCGTCAACAAGAAAGAAAAATTAACAGTAAGATAATACGAAAGATGATGAGTTGGGCACATTCTAGGTTTAGAAAAAGACTGATTTCTAAAATGGGGAAATTTAGCAAAATTATATTAACGTCTGTTTCAGAGGCATATACAAGTAAAACATGCAGCAAATGTGGTTATATTAAAAAGAATTTAGGGGAATAAAGTGTTTACTGTAGATGTAATAGTTGTAGCCTCATCCCAATCGACAGAAACACCATTGCATATCAGAGTTGAGCCTCAACTTTACCACAATCCGCAGTTTTTTTAAACAATTTTGCCGCACGCCGAAGACTTTCTTGTCAATTATCCTTATGCTCAGGAAGGACAGAGTGATATAGATAATAACCAACCCAGTATTTTGCAGTTATGTCACCTTGTTCAGCGAATTGGTTGAAGCATTCCCATACTTTTAGTTTATTACCTTCGGGTTTTCAGTGCTCTTTGACTGCTTGTTTTACTGTTATGAAACTATCATCAATTACAAAATCTTCTTCAAATTTACTGATAGATGGCTGAGTCCTTTTATGGTGATAATCAAAAAGGACTGTAAATCTTTTAGAAATTATTTGTCAAAAATCTGGATTATAACTTAAAGCATTAGATAAATAAATATATTAGTATGCTTAAATATTTATGGTTTTAAAAATTAATTTTTAAAATAATGTGATACCTATATATATAATATCCTGCCAAACTTTGGTATCTGAATAAAATGGTTCGCAATATTTCTCTTTTACAACACGATCTCGAATAGGTTAGTTTGCAAATTTATTACTTTCCTTGTATAAGGTATCATGTCTTCAGCAATTTCTCATAGAAAAGCTCCTAAACTAAATAATATAGCTGTCTTTAAAAAGTTGTAAACAGACGCAAATAACTATATCACAGGAAATTCCCGAAATTAACTAGATTTCCAAGCCAGCTCTAATCAGATCTTCAATTTTACTAATGATAATTACCCAATTCTTCGATTACCCACATAGGTATGTGAAAATCATTATTCACACCTTTTGAAAACAGCTGTAATTTAAATAGATGTTTATTGAAAATAGAATAATTATAATTATAAAATTTGATAATACACGTATTTTAAGATTTTCATCATATATATCTATAAATTTTATATTTAATAGAATATCTAATTTCTCAGGATCTATATATCTTACATTCTCAAAAACAACTTGAATATTTCTAGTAATATTTCTGAACTTACGACTTAAACCAAAATTAGCAATTTTGCTTTGTGATTTTCATTTATTAGTATATTTGCAATATTAACATTAACTATATAATCATTTAATATAGCTATAAATTATTAATATTGAATAAAATTTTGTATATCTCTACGGCATTTAAGAAAGAAATTCTATGACAAATATTAATTGCAAATTCAAACTTTTCAACTTTTTATTAAACTTAGATGCTGTGGTTAATCCTCAATTTTGATTGGCCAATGGCTGTGATCGACAAAATTCTGGCTTGCATTATGTATAATTTTGGCCAGAATTTAATTTTTTAATTTTTTTAATTGCAAAAATAGAAAAATTTTAAGGTTTTAGTGACTGGGCAATCCAAAAAAGTTTTGAAATCATATAATATTGTCAATTCATTATGATTAGGATCATGATAATATTTATAGTAAATTAATTAATTTAGTAAATAATTTTTTTTTGATTCATCAAAATAAAAAGTGACCTTTGCAATCTCAACAAACCAAGTGATTCTTTTATAAGTATAAAATTCAATAAATGCAATATAAGGTAGATATGCCTAATTTGGCACAGCTAAGTTTTATGACGAATATCGCGTGATATATCAATCAGAATCATGTGATTTTGGCACCATTAGATTCGTCTCATCAGGACGAATCGAATGGTACCAAAATCATCTGATTCTGATCACTAGATCACAAGATATTACTTATTAAAGTTTATCTAAAAAACATATTCCTAATTTGATGATGTGCCTAATTCGGTGCACTAACAATATCTAATGATATCTCGTGAACTATCAATCAGAATCACATGATTATGGTACCATTCGATTTGTCTCATCAAGACGAATCGAATGGTACCAAAATCACGTGATTCTGACCGATAGTCACGAGATATCATCATTTAACTAAAATAATCTGTGTAAAACAAATCTTGAAATTAACACAAAATCGTAAATAACTTTTGATAGATTGATCCATTTTTAATGATTTTATGACCAAAATAACCACCTTGAAGAGACAATTTTAATGAGCTCAAAATCACTAAAATCCAATTACGGGATCATGAGATCATTAAGATTTTTATATTATTTTTGATGAAAATTAGATTAGTAAGGCGACCCAATTCAATTCAGTGATTTACATTACATTTTCATTATGAAAGAGGGGGGGGCTTCAGAGGGTTTATATAGTAAAATTTCAAATTTTTTTTTTAAAAAATTTTTTTGAAAATGTTTTATTAC